CTCTTGAGTATTATGAATAACCCTCTGCTTTCAACTAACCAAACCAATAATGAGTTTTCAGTTGTTCCGCATTCTTAATATTATGAGATTCAGGCATCTGACAACCTGAGACCAGGTCAGAGATGCAATCAATGTGTTTCAAATTTGTCATTGAAAATATACCATATAGCATTAATAGATTATCTGGACCCATTACGTACTGCGTGTAAGCAAGTTGAACAATTGAATGCCGGATACCCGCTACCGATATGTAACGTGTCTGTTGTTTCGGTCATAAAAGTAAACCTGAGGGCCATGGTTAGAGAATGAAGTGGTAACTAGTTATTATTATACTTGATCGATGAAGTGTAACGCAGTAGGCGCGTAGTGTGGCGTCGAGCGACGTCTGACTATGATCACCGCAACAAGAATAATGCGTACCAGAACAGGCTAAAACTCTAAGTAATTAGGAATCAGAAGGCAATTGAAAGTTGTTGGCAATCTCGTGGTATCGAAATAATGCCGAGATCATGCCAAAGGAGTACAAGTGAAACAGTTGTGGCATTGGACGATAACCACACAACTCTCAAACCTGAACACGAGACTACTCGGAAAATAGATATTCAATATTTAACGCGGGAAAATACCTAACGATAGAAAAGGCGGCAACAATGAGTTGAATTAATTGGAATTGATCAGATGGCATGGCTCGGTCATACAGGCGTGGTCCCTGTGGAATGTTACCTAATATTTTTTATTCATATTAAATATATTGTTCTTTCTCTAGCCTAAGCTTGTACTCCATCATGCATTGGTGATTTTTACAATACAATGAGTTAGTGTAGACGATGGTATGATTTCCAAGTAAGATCTTATAGATTAGGCAGTTATATCATGACAAATCTACAATTTTAGGACTAGGTCTATTATTAGAGAAGTACTAATATCATAGCAGACCATGATTCTACAGAACTACTGAGCAAACGTAAGTTCGTGCAAGGTCACGAGCAACGGGAGAATGTATGCGTTTTGGTACATGTCGGGATATTCAGGAAAATATCTAAAAAATTTTCTTATTAAGGCTAATGCTATTCTTGGACATGTAGATGGTATTATTTACTTATTGGTCAGTACTTATTTCACGTGTCATTTTCCTACTGGTTAATATTGTACAATGTTATTTTCTATTTTATGGTACGATGTGTTCTGCTTGGTCAGTATATAAACATAGTGTGTTTGAAATATGATGATTCATATATCCGAGGCTGAAACTTGTGTTCTGGACTCAACTGGCTGGGTTAGACAGGGCCAATCAGAACCCTAGGCCGTTCTACGTGTTTGTGCGTCCTTGGTCCGATCAATAATTCGCTACCCCTCTAATCCGCAGTATTTTTTCACGTTATAACAGTACAGTTAAACAAGCGAATATGGTAAAACAATCACTGGTACAATTAATTATAATAATAACTTTTTCCATTACACCAATCACGTTCTCTTGATAAAAGTAGGTCACTACAGGCGCATGACTGAAGAGATGAAATCATATCGACTAAGTGTTGAAATGGTGTAACAATGTACAGATTTCAGCTTTCTTATTCATACTATTTCTGGATAAACTCCTTGCGGTTATAGTGTTTCGTACGACCCGTAAAAGTCGATTCCGACAAAATTCGTCGTCGCAGCACAGCTATCCCTCATATAGTAAGTCCGTTCAATTTTCCAAAATTGACGTTAAGATCCTACTAAATGCACCTATTAAGCTATCTCTATTCTGTATTTTAGGTAATCGATGAAGACAAGTCACATCATGTACATCTGCTGTATATTGCCACACTACTCTAGTTTTTTAACTGTTATATGTCTTTTCAAAATGAAGACGTTTTATCACATTCAGTAAATACATACCGATTTACTATGAAGGTAATCAGGAGGGTCGTGACGTGTTTAACGCGAATGTAGTCGTATGCTCACTAAGAAGCTAAGCGAGCGTGTAGACCTGTATACTGTACCGTATAAAGTGTGCTCATGTTACCAGTATTCCATCAGTCTATGAGAGACATTGTTCGCAAGTCTCGAGGCGGCCTACTTAAATATCTGGGCCAGCTGATCCTGCGATCTAGAAATTCCCATAAGTTATCTGTATCCTTGCTTGTCTTAACAGACCATTATGCCCATTAATCTCATTATCTATTCAGGTACGTTTGTGAAAAGTTTACGACATTTTGCTATACAAGTTCCAGTGATGTACAATCGCAGATATAATGATGGCTGGCGATGTGCATTGGAACGAATGAACATTAATCAGATGTCGACTTCTGAAATGCTAAGATCTAACTGCTGATCACTCAATATTCATCGTTCATATCGATAAAAAAAGCCGAAACTCGCTGAAGTACTGTGTGTTGTGAATTCTATATTGTACCAAATATACAATTTTGAATAAGAATAAAAATAGATAAATAAATAAATAGGGTATACAAGAGCGGAACCGTGCTCCAGATTTACGGATTTATTCAGTAATTATCTCATAGTCAATGAAATATTAAACAAACATTTACACCAGATTTCCATTTACAACTTTCATATTGATGTCAAATTATTGTCCATGTTATTTCTTTAAACTGCAGTATAAAGAAGTAACTCATAATTAGTGGAAGTGGTTGTGAGACTAGAACTTTGGAGAAAGTGCCGTAAGTATGATATCCCGTAAATAGCTTCATGATACCATAATTGTGACGATGAAACACCTTGCAAGAAGATCCGTCAGGAGTCGCTAATGTTCTATTATAAATAAACGAATAGGTTTGGTTTTAGTCAAAAATATGGAATAAGTCAATGTAAAAATTGTCATTTACCAGCACGTTCATGAATATTTATCAAAGATTAGGCCAACTATTACGACCTGTGCAAAGCATAGTATGTGCTTAATATTGCAGTGTACAGCGTTTATCCTTTTGCTTCCATTTATGTATTTTAACGCACTTGCATTTCGTTTTACGGTAAGATATACATGGATAGTGTTAAAAATTTTCAATGATTGTCAACAGCCAGCTGTACTTAATTAAAACATAAAACACTTTTCTTCTAGGACTGCTGCTTTCCAGGAAAGTAACAATACAGCCACTTGTTCATCTAACTGTCGATGTTAACTCTGGGGAAATTGTTTAATAGCAAGGCTCTCAAAATATGGTCAGAGCCAAATGCACAGTCTACAAACGCATACCCAACATCCTTACCACGTTTTTTTAATTGAACACTATTTTATGGTGTACTACAACAGAAACATCTAAGTTAGTTTTTTCTATTTGTGAACAAACTGATTTGCATCAATATACTCATTAAAAACACGCTGATATAGGAGTTGCTATAGTTTCTCTGTCGTTTTTGGTAAAGACTAAGTTATTACAACAGGTCTATATCACTAGTGTCTTACGTTTAATTTATAAACGAAATCAATCAATGATGTGTTTGGAGGGGGAAATATAATAAAAATGATATATCATAATCATATCCTTCTGATATCTCATTTACTGCACAATTTCTAAGCTCTCAACTTTAGCTTCTAGGAGCTAGTTACACTGTAATGTATACATAGTCTCACACATTGTTCTCTGGTTTCAACGATAAAACACACTAACGGAAATGAAATATTTGGCAACACGAATAATTAGACTGATGTCCTACATTGCTTCATTGAAACACTTTGATTACATCAATTGAACCAAGTGCACTAAACTAAAAAGGTGTCATAGTTATTCTTTCATTCGGACAGACATTTGTTGGAAAATAGTTGACTATAGATAATTAGGCCCACAAACCTCAAGAAACAAACTATAGGCCAGTAAGACCTACATAACAAAGGAAAAACGATAGTTTCGAGACTGAAGACAAGAGTTACTTATGTGTCAAAACATAGTTTACAGAACAAAAAACCTTTCTTTAATAACAGCATTGACTAACGGTTTACTTCCTAAACAATCACGACCTTTGCTAAAATTTCCATGACTTAGGATTTCATTCCATCAGGTGATGCATGTCCAACGAAACGCAGTCTGACTTGGTAAATAAAACTTACAGCCATAGCGAAGTTAACAGAACATTCTAGTTTTTCAATAGCAATTATATCATAATATGACAAATTCATTGACTACATGGGTGAAAACATGGCCGTTATTCTGGCCTGCATTATGACAACGTTGAGTATATATCCGCCCATCTAAAGACAAAACAGGAGCGCATGAAAAGCTAAAAGATGAACAAAATTTGTAACGTATATGGGTTTGCCCTTCGAGTCACCAACTCACAGGGCCTACTACTGAGTGGTGCGGCGTCAACTGACACATTCAAGGGAAAACTCGACACACAGAAGCTTAGTGGAAAAAATATTAAAGGATATAGATTTTCTTCAATATTACACATAGCTTAGTTTGAAGGAAGTTGGAACGCCGATGGCAAGTTAGAATTAAAGTTTAATTTTGACGCAAAACATTGTAAATGAATGGTATAATCACTAAAATTCCTCAGATATAGTGGTGAGCTTATTTCCCAGACAACCAAAAGAGGGGAAATAAAGGCGAACAAAAAGGAAATAAAGGGGTAAATGTTTTGGTAGCGAAAGGGGAAAAAAAGGGAAAAAAAAGGGAATATGCGCCAGAATGTCGTCTTTTTCGCCTGTCCGGCGGAAATAATACGGATTTTCCTCTTTTTCGCCGTTTTGTCGAAAAATTACCGACTTATCCCCTAAATATCCGCCAAATTGTCGAATTTTCGCCTAAATATCTGCTGAATTGTCGAATTTTTGCCTAAATATCCGCAGAATTACATAATATGTAAGCTATTACATGTAATAGCTTACTAGTGTAATTTTAACATAACCAGAAAAATTAATATTAATACCCTCTAACTGTACCGCAGCGGCAAGGAGTGGGTGCAAAAAAGGCGATCCATTCAGAGAATTCCTCCACAACTATTGGAAATATATTTTAGATATTATACCTTAGAATTTTCAACATCTTCAAAGTGTGCGCTACGCCGCCTCATTCAAGATTTCGTCCGTCAAAGATGATTGTTAAGGAGTAGTGAGTTCTTTCTTTAGTTGTTTCTTTAGTTGTATGACATTTCTGATAATCGCACATTATTTACTCTTATAATAGTCGTGTAATTTTACCTATGACAGTTGAAGAATATCAAGTTGGTCAACTGTATTCCGTTGCTGAAGCTTCCAAAGGAGAGACAGGTGGTGGTGATGGCGTGCAAATATTGGTCAACGAGCCGTTCGATCAAACAACGTATAAGCCTGATCGCCCTTTATTAAAAGGAGACCCAAGGTTCAGCACTGGGCAATACACCCATAAATACTACCATCTTGCGCACAAGGTACCAGGGTTTGTTCGTGTTATCGCTCCTGAAAGTGCATTCGTTTTCAACGAATATGCGTGGAATGCTTATCCCTACTGTCGAACTGTTATCACAGTGAGTAGTTTACTTCAAATGCTATAAAATCCACAGAATAATTACATGATGGAGAAGTTTAGTGTAACAATTGAATCTCTTCACGTGGACTCCTTAGTAAATATAGAAAATGTAAGTTTACAGTGTGTATTTCCCAGCTTTTTTTAGTGGGTTGTCCAACCCGAAACGATATTTTATAACTTCTATTTTCCTATGATCGACTCATCATACCCTATTGTGTAATGAAAACTGATTGACAGTTTCAAACAATATTTCCCTTCCTATACTTACACTTGTCTTTGTTGGGTTGTTTTCCCTTTCTACTACGGACATTTAAGTTTGGCAATACTTAATCTTCACTTTAATGCTCAACCATTATTATTGGTAACTACTATTATTACTATACCAACAGTGGTTTGCAATGTATAACCGTCTAGATAAAAGCTGTTGAGCCAATTTTCCCCTTAATGTTAAAATCACTGATAAAAAACCTTTCAGGCAAGACTACTTTATGGAACAACTGATTAAATTATGGATAGGTCTTGAATTATGGCGCGAGATTCATCCATATATTTAAATAGCATTTTGGCATTATAGCTGATATCAGTTCGTCATGGAATTCTCTAATTCAATTCTTAACCTTAAATTCTACCTCTAAATCTTAATTACTCATACCAATTCATAACTCTCGCTTGATACTGGTAAATAGGTGAGTTGTCTCAAGGTCGCTTTAGTATCACTTAATGATCCTCCACAATTTATGGTTTTACCGCTCTGCATTATTTTTATTCTATCTTTCCATCAAGACCACTCTTTACTCTTTAAGATTCTAAAACTTATCACGATCACTAGTGGGGTTTCAATCATTTACCAATGGATATAAATATGTATATGGCTTTGGTAATAATCTCCGTTGTTTCACCTCTGCTAAGTTACATGTTATTAAGAACACTGCAAACTAACTTTCAAATCATATTTTACTGACTTTACTCGACTATGTCTTGCATGTTAATGAAGAGCTTTTGACACCTTACAGCATTCATTGGGTGCAGATCGCAGTTCGAAATACCATCCGTGCTGAATGTTTCACTAGTATTTTAGTAAAAGTGTCATAAACGTTCACAAGTAGCATAGATATTCAGTGAAGTTTATCTTTATCTAAGCTAACTTCACTGTATAGACATTGGATTTTATTGGTTTTTGTTTGGACTGGTAAATTAAGATACCTTGTCATATTACGTTGTCCGCGCTTTTACTATTTGACTACTCAGTGTTGTGAAATTCTGTAAAACTATTTCCAAACTAATTTGGTCACCTCCCCTATTCGGTGCAATGTATGTACCAGTATTGTGCAAAAATCATATGCAGTTTACATGATTATTAATTGGACAGGTTTTTGTGGTGTGAAGATGTAATTACATAAACCGGTTCTTATTGTGTTCGAAGTCAAGAATGTTCTGTGTATCTGTAACAACACTATGAAGCTCGTATATAGTGAATTTATGTCTCTAGATAGGGAATTCGGACAAGTAAATATATCAGCGTAAACTGTAGACAAATTTCCACTAAGTTCACTTACCACATTTCTCAACTGGAAGACGTGGCAAGATTATGATTTATGAATGAACCAATGAGATCTTGGATTTCGGCGCAAAATTCTTCATCTGTTTGGCTAAATAGCGTTTTGGCATTTTAGCTGATGTCAGTTCGTGATGAAAACCCTAAATCTAATTCCTAACCCTAACCATCAACTTTAAATCATAATTCTAATTCCTCACATCTGTTTATAACCTTGATTTAGCCCTAGTATGTAGGTAGACGTTCTCAAGGCCACTTTAGCATCGCTCAAAAATTGTCTATAAAATATAATCTCACCGGAGATATTTGTTGTTTTAATACTCTTGAAGTTCAGCGAAACTATCAGATCTTGCATTATTATTATTGTTAACTCGTCAATCATCACTTCAATTCATTATGTGACACTAATGCTTTTAATCGTGTTAGTCATAATGATTGGATAACCAAAGTTAAAATTTCTCAGAAGTAACTTTTGTGATATTTTTAGTACCATGGTGACGTATTGCGTACATTAATTTCCATGTATCTTTTCGGTTATTAGGCTCATCAGTTAAGTCCGGAAAAATGGGCGGAGGTTGAAGTGATCTACATAGATATTGGTGATATTTCTCAGGCAGACAAAGATTATAACCCTAATGAAGATCCTACAACTTTTCGCTCTGAAAAGACTGGTCGTGGGCCCTTAAGGCCGAAATGGTGGGAGGTAATTTATCTGTAGAATCTTTCTGTTACTTTGTATATATGTGTATACATATGTAGCTGTGATTGTTCAAAAACTGTGTTCTACATTATCTGCTTTTATTTTCATTTTTGATCACGTTCTACGTTGATTTCATTTATGTAATGCACAGGCTGTGATGATGTGTTGAGTCTCAGTTGTTATATCTAGGTGAAATTTCTGACTATTTCATTCTGTAAAGACGTGGAGAGACGATGCTAAGATTACCAGTTATCTTGTATTGCTGTAAGTCATTTAATCATATCTCCTTCCATACCGACATTCATTTTACAGCCAATTTGTAGTTGATACAATACTATTTGCTAACTTAATAACCTAGCACACAGGTTCATGTGATCTGATTTGGGCTACATTTGTTGTGTAAGTGCTGGTGACACCATTACCTAACAGCTCAAGCTAAGTTCAGATCCCCGACTTATCAGTCAGTTTTAACAGAACAATGAGGACTTGTAGTTGTTCTATCGAAGCTTACTAATAAGATAAGTTGCCTTATATTTAGTAATTAGCGGATAGGTACTTTAATCACTAAACTGCTGCGCTGTGTTATAGCTGATGAGATAAGTTTTGTAACTATTTTTAGTTTATCATACAATTTATTTTACTTCATCAGCATTCATCTGAAAAAAATATTTACTGGAGAAATTATGGTCGCATAATGTGTGGTCAAACTTTAGTTGAAGGCTCCGCTTGTTATTAAGATAAAAACAGTGCGTTCTTTTTCCCTGGTGGTGTAGACCAACTTAGTCAAGTTAATTCATCTAGAATAGTAATCATTTGTGAATTGCTTTATTTCAATCAGATTAATGTTGCATAAGAATCGTAAATAATAGGAATCAAAGCCTACTAGCTAAGTTTATGTGTCTGGCAGCTAGCTAGGGAGAAAGATACTAACCAGTTACTCAAACTGAAGGCGAGTTTGAGATATGAGACTTGTTGATTAAAAACCTAGTGCTGTAAACATTAACCAACCGCTCCATTTTTAGGTCTGTATTTGTGTATTAATGTGTCTCATTGTTCTTACTTTGAAACTAAAATATTATAAATTACAGTAAACCTTATTATCTTACTTTTTTGTATCATTTGGTTTGTTGTAAAATAATCATCCAAGTTTATGTTGTACACATACTAAGCGAAATCATTGGTTGGAAACTTTGAATGGCATCACTCTGAATCATTTTTCATCTTTTAGATCTTATGTTCTACTGTCCCTTCATATATACCTTTCCACTCTATCGTTTCAAGCTATATTCTCTAGTGTTCAGTTATTCTCACTTTATTTATTTATTTGAACATATGAATATTGGTACAAAAGATCATCAAATACATGTGCACCACACAAGTTACTTGATTTGTGTGTGGGCTGTGATACTATCTGGGTGCCCAGACTGAAGCATTTTGGTTACTAATAAATTATTTCCATCTGTTTTACACAATCCATCGGATCATATTCTTCTCATCGTGACAATGTGATATGACAACTTTGTCAAGCTCTACCTTGATATTTCCTGGTATTATTGACATACCATTTATGTCAATAATACTATACCATTTATCCCGACCGCTGTTGCTGCCTTGACGTGGTGGTCGGGCTTGCCTCTCGTGATGAACCAATCGAGCTGTACTGGCTGGAACAACCGTTCCTCAAGGTCCTACCATGCCAGACAGGTCGGTTGAAGAACGGTAAGACTAAAAGCAGCAAACCCAAGGTCCGAAGGCGAAGTCGTACTGCTGACTGTACAGAGGTGTGACGGCTGTAAGGTGTTTCCTTCAGACAACCAGCATAGCAGCAATGCTGCCTTCCTACAAGGAGGGGTGGGGTTAGAAAACATCGACCCTAAATTGCACACCTCACCTTATCCCACGGATATCTATCTTCGGCGTTAAGGTCCCAACAAATACGGAGGTAACACGAAGATTACTCATAAATAGGACGTGTGTGACTGACCTCAAGCAGTTGTCCCTTGGGCAGTGTGATCACGCTCTCAGGTCACTAAGACCACCCACAACCCGATTTCCTTTTCAAGGTACCTTTAGAAGAACTCTTCCATGGTGTGGGCAACCGGGAAGTGATAATCACCCTCGTACTTCTACCATTTATCATCATAGATTTTGTCAATAACTTCTTTTCACTTACTACAAAATATCCACTTATGGTAATGTTTCATATGAATATTGTTTTCTAAACATACTTTTAAAAATAAACTAAACTTTTTCAATTGTTTTTTTAAAGCTAATCTTTATCTATTATTGTATAGTTATTTATCTTTGAACTATCCATTCTACTATAACAATAATGATTGTTATTATTAATTACTATCATTTCAATATGTTCATTCTTATTCATTTATATTGTTTTCTCTCTCTCTCTCTCTCTCTTATTGTCAAATCCTGTTGTGTTTCAACCTTAATAGGTCAAAATATGAAAAAAAACGAGGTCATACACATTTGTATATTTCAATATGTATCAAGTTCTCACTATTATTATTATTGTTATTATTATTATTATTATTCACTTTCTTATATGTTTTTACCCTGGATGGACATGATAACGGTGGTATATTTCCTTTCTAAATAAACTTTTATCATAAATTAGGTGACTTAAACTACTTTTCAAAAAAGTGGTAATCGTATGCTTAAATCAATTAGTTACAGCTCTACTTTAAGATAATAACCTGTTTGTCTTTACACATATGTATAATTTTCTTTGAGTTGTATTACGATAGGTTTCTTAGGCTTATAGAATGCATAGTTTGATGTAAATCAAATAACAGATAGCCTTGACTAGGACGTTATGAAGTGATGTCATCGATATGTGTCGTATCTCCTCGATCTTCTCTTGAGTTTCTTATCCAGTGTTGAATGTTGAGGTAACTTTTTTTCAAGTGGCCAAACTAAAATTTGACACAAATCCGTGAAATCACTAACTGTTCGACTTAGTTATGAGTCTGAGATCCATGTGATGTGACCACGATCATTGGTTGGAGACTTTCGATGAGATAAATCAGAATCGGTCACAGTGGTGCAGATCCACTCCCTTCTTATTTTCTCCTAAGTCATAGGTCTCAACATTATTTTGTTATATATTATTATATAATATACCCTTGTGGGCCAGGGTAATTTTACATTTGTTTTCAGGAGAACCAGGCACCATTCGGACTTTCACGTAAAAACCCAAACAGTACAGCTCAACCCCGTTTAGCAGGGGAACCAGACACCGTACAGGCTTTAACGCTGCAATCTGAATAGTATAGCTCAATCCTGTGGTGCAACCACACAGGTACCAAGCACCCTGGTGGACCATTCGCACCATTCATATACACACTCACACCATGTGTATAGGTATTCCGACCAATGATCGCGTGAATCAATTATGCACAGCACGAACAGGCCAAAGTTGACCTATTCCGCTTACACGACAGTCAAACTCGTTAATGTTAGCAATGGCGGCATGCCTTACAATGTCCCAATGACAATGGCCCTCGGGAACACTGAAAAGCAACCACCAACATTATTTTGTACTTCCTATTATTTCTTTCATCTTAAACTATATTCTACAACGTTTGATCTTTCTCATTATCACTGATACTACTATTATTTCAACTATCCGTCTTGTCAGTATCATCTGGCTACACCGATATGGTATGAAAACTTAAGCTAAATTTCCATCACTCAAACGAAATGGTCACATTGCTATTCATGCGGAGATTAGGGATTGTGTGCTCAAACAGTGACAATAATTCAATTAGTGTCACCATATTTCAAGGCCGAATTCATTGGCTTGAGCATGTTTTATAAATATCATTCGACCAACTTCCATATCTTGCATTTTATGGCTGACGCTGATACTGGTTGAAAAAGAGAAGTGTTTAGTTTATAACCCGAGCTATGAAACAAAGTTGTATAGAGCCGGCATTTGTCGGTCTCTATTTGATGTCAAACAGATAGCACAACTCACTGGCTTAATATGTTACCAGACATGGCTCAAAGCATAAACCACTGGTCATCCTGTTGTAATTTTTGTTGACTTCCTTTTAAAAGTGAAAAAAAGTTTCCAATTGTATTTTTTTGTACCTGACCTGCTTATTTGATTATTCTCTGCCCTTGTTCATTCATATTTACCAATTTATTGTTTTTATTTTATCGTCACCTTTCTTTATGACTCTGCAGTCTCACGTTCTTATTCTGTATCACATATTTATTTCGGTTCTCCTTTGTATCAATATTAATGCATTTTAATAAAACAAATAATTGGCTAACAGTATCAAAAGTGAGGAAAATAACACACTAAGGATATTGTTTACTTGATAATATTTAGGACCATTCTCTATTTATCACCGAAAGCTTAAACATCACCAACTATCATGCCACTGCGTGATGTTAAGATTGCCTTGTACTAACTACTAATGACTAGACTAGAAACATTTTTGTATATGAATAAGAAAGTGGGGTCATGTGATTTTTTTCCTGAATGTTCTTCAACAACTATAAGGTTTGATTGAGTTACCTAAATTCTTAATTTTTAACTAACTTAATTATCAAATAGTATTTTGGATAAAGTATACAGTGCTATCGAATTTCTGGCTGGCTAGAAAGTATGAAGCTAACCATCATTTTATTGTATAACATTAGTTTACTCAAATAAAAACCAATCGGTTTGTTTTTTCATTTAATGACCTGTCAAATTCTGTCTAGATGTCTCTATTCTACTCTTCATTTACAGAATGGTTACAAAGGACCGATTATGTGTGCATACAAACTTGTTTCATGTGAATTCAAAATGTGGGGAATGCAAGGACGTATAGAGAAAATGATTCAACGGGTATGCTGTATCTTTTGTTTACCTATAATTTTAATTACTTCTATAAATTATTATTTCCATATATGTAAATCTAACTTATCGATAACATAGTATTTTGGAGTGATATGCATATCGGTACAACATATGAGCTTTCTTCATTCCTGTATGTTAATATTCGACCATTCGATTTAGGACACGGTCATTTAAAACTTTTTTATTATTTTACTGTCTAGTATTCCTTGGCCCCTGTACTTAATTTTTATGAAGATAGAGTAGTTAAAATTTATTAGAGTTTATATAGGATTTACATGAAAATTTCCTAGCATCACGACAATCCATCCATACTGTTTGATTGAAAATAGACTAATGAACGCATTCTGATTTAAGCCTGACCTGGACCTGTCGTACTAACAGAAATAAAATGTAGTTTAATGTAACTCATTTAACAAGTATAGGATTCAAGCCGCCATAGTTATTTAGCTGGTCTGCCCTGAGGGGGGGGTTAGAAAACTCTGGTTCCAAACCAGTGGTGAACATGGGCTCCAGGATCCTGAAGGAACAAATAGCATATGAACCTCTTGTTGCTCACCGGCTACCATGGGACTGCATCTCGTAACTTTGCTCCACTGTCTTGTAGATCAGACCTCTAGATCAAAGGCTCGGGGTGTGGCTCCCTAAGAAGACCATCTGCTGCGATTTGGGTGACCGGGTAATATTCCAGCTCTTAGACAAATCGAATGGCGAAGTGTAGCTCATATATATATATATATATATATATATATATATATATATATATATATGGTGCTTCCTTGTACCAACGTTTGTGTTTAAATAAACATAAATATATAAATAAATTGACCCAACCAATATAATTTTGACGAGTATTTATGTTTCACAGTTTAGGATGCATTCATTAGCGCTTTTGAACTCAGCATCTAGCACTTCTTAAAGTTTAAGTTTCCTTCCACTTGTTGTCTTCTGTCCAAGTGCTTGTTATTTGACACTCGAACATTCAAAACAAACTTCCCAAATTATGTAACAGTTTTTTATGTGTGTATGTTTTTTATCGAAAATCCTTTGTTAAAGTGTATAATGTCAAAAAGTATAGACATGACCGTAATATTGATGGCTTATTAGTATAGAAAACACGATTTTCAACCAACTGGCTACATGTTTGAACCCTGTTACATCTACTTTTGCTCTATTGTATAATGAGTTTTATCTATTGAGACATGTATTAGGCATGCCCTGGTAGGTACAGTCTAGCAGATTGGTTTCTTCGTAGTTATCGTAACCAGTAATTGGCAGTGTCAGGTGATATGACTCAGAATCATTCACGATGGCACGGACGTATTCACTCCCTCAAATCTTAATTTTAACATTACCTATTACTTTTTATCTTACCAACTCACCCTTTGTTCCTAAATCATATTGTATATGTCTAGTTGTTTCTGGTACTACTGATACTGTTATTACTTGTACTACTCTGGCATTTTTAAAAATAACTTCATCTCGTTGTGGTCATATAATGTGTTAACGTGGACCGAAGCTTGTATATGTTCCCGCATTCCACGTTGCTTCTAACTGACCAAAATCAGTCAGCTACAACGTAGGACCAGGCACATATATGCATCGGTCCAAGTTGTCGTATCTCATTACCACAGCAAGATGAACACTGGATTCACAGAAGTGGTTAGTTCAATGGTAGTAATATATAAAAGAAAAATTGCATATAAGGAAGAAAGAAAGATATAAAGCAATTTTAATCTCATATTTTAAGGGAAGACAAAGAGTGTATGCACTGAATCCATTGTGATCGATTCTGAGGCATGTCAGACAGAGTCTCCAACCATTGGTTACGATAGTCACGCAGACCTCAACCAAGTAGTCTGCACTTACCAACATGGTTAAGACTAGAAGTTAGTGACTTCAAGCACTGATGCCACATTTTGGTTTGGTCGACCCCAACATTCTTCCAACCATCCCCAATACCAGTCAGCACTAAGCATCGTGGTAATCGGAGTTCAGGCATACGCAACACGTGACCCAACCATCTTGGTCAATAAAAATTTACAACCTCATCAACTGATTTACCATCATTCCCTAATACCCTGCGTCTAACCTCACTATTACTTACCCGATGATCCCAGCAGATGCCAGCAATATTTCTAAGGCATCTGTGGTCAAGTACTAGTAGCTTACGAGTATCCTCCACTCCTAATGTCCACGTTTTGCAGCCGTAAAGTAGGACAGAACGAACTGCCGCTCAGTATACTGATCAAAATATAGTCAGATAATATTACTTGACCTCACAGGACCAATTTAGTTCTATCCTATACATACATAACTAAAAAATATTATGATATATTTTTATGTATTACTGTGCTTTTTTTCTACTGAAAGCAGCAAATGATGTATATTCTTTAATGTATCCATGTTTGATTAGTGAATTTCCATATATATGTCATGAAAGTGGTTTAAATGATGAAACCTATGAAAATACTTAAATTCCTAAAAATAATTTCGAATCATAGATGGTTTCAATTTGCTAATGTAAGCACTATTCTTTTTTTCTTTTAAGGATAAACAAAAGTGTGAAAGTGGTTCATGATAACAGCAATAATAATTCTTCTGTAGTTGAAATTCATATGTTTATGACACATGCTACACTTTTGAACGACCGATTTTTAATGGTCACTTGATATTTATATACATATATATATATATATGAATTGATTTAATGATAAACCACATGTGATTGACATATTCGATCACTTTTGCTTCAATTAAGTTTTTTAAAAAGTATGCTAATCATGTGTGAGTATTCACTAAAGGTTTCAAATGTACATGTTTTGCCTACTTCTAGTTCATAAGTTAGTTACTTGTAATTATTTTGAATATTGTGACGAGAGTACTGTGACTAAGCAGCAATCAGCTCTAATCAGATAATCTCCAGTATACACGTGTGTGTATATATATATATATCCTGATTTACATAGGTGAGAGTTAATTAATCAAGAAAATGGTAGATTGTTGGCATCCTTCAACGACCATTAATCAGTACTTTTATCATAGTATCAGTTAATTAGTATTTGGTTATGAATTAACACTGTATTATAATGATATAACTGTCAGTTTACACTTATGGATTAGGTGCGAATACAGTCAAACAGGGAAGTATTGAAATCGCATGATTCATACATAAGGCGATTAAGAATCGATTGTGATGGAGTTTTGTTCTTTGAGTTGGATGATTTAGTCGGAGAGCTTTCATCGTTATTCTGAATGACATCATCAGCACAAACCTTAGGTAGAAGTGAATTGTTCGAATTTCTCCACATATGGCTCACAGCTTGTCCTGTAGAATTCGATGTTGTTTGGTTATTGTGGACCTTTAATATGTTATTGTTTACTTCTTTATTTTGGTTGTATCTCTCATTCATTTGGTTTTTGGCTCTATATTTGTATCTCTGTATTAGGAATACCGAGGTTCAACTGTGTATTCTAGCAAAGTAACTATGTCACCATGCTGAAACACTAACTTCACTGGCTTCCACATCGTGTATTTTTTGCTTATGTTGGTACTGGTTAATAAATACATAGAGATAGTCAACTTTTGAAATATCATTATTGTACGGGAATGGAATCTGTGTGTTCATCATAACTCTTTGATTGAGTTTTTAAAGATAATATAACTCAATAACTTGAGTCATTAAATGTGGCTCGGAATAGAAAGCAAAAGGTATTCTTCTATAGTCTTCTTTTAAGCTCTTTCGTTAACTAAAACAAGTTTTTCTCTGGCTGTATTTTCAACCAAACTCCATCTCTTATTAAATACTGTTCTTGCTACTTTATTGACTTAAGAGTCTCATTCCCACTTCAGTTTCTTCACAATTTATGTGACCCACACTTTTTGGTGCTTTATTGTATTATCAAAAGTGACATATGATATAGATAAATGAATAGGTAGTTTTTTTCTACAGTACAGTACCCCTCCGTTTCAACACTTTTCATTAGTTAGTAAACTGAAGTCAAAACGGTTTATTACAAATTTGAGTATAGTATTATTCTATTAAATGTGTATTAAAACACGGAGAAAATGATAGAATGATGCACAAAAAATAGACAAACAAAAATCTCATAAACATAGTTCCCTTTATTATCTTGAAGAAAGCAAAAACAAAGATTGGTGCTAATCTCGAAAGAACCAAGCTAAAAAAAGGTTTATTATTCGAGGTATGTTTACAACACCTTCATCATGTGTAGTAATCAACAACACACAACAAATCTGCTGAAACTTTTCAACGAAATTCATAAAAGTATCCATTTTACTATGGAGCATTAAAATGTGAACTACGTTCCATTTTCTCGACATCACATTAAAACAAAGAAAGGATGGCACAGTCCATCAATTCAGTCTATCAAAAAAACAGAATGGGATTTATCACAATTGCAATAGCTTTTGTCCATTCCGTTACAAAAACGCAGTGGTTAAAACATTATTTCATAGAACAGAAAGAATATTTACTGTGGATACGCTAGAAGAGGAACTAATGAATGTGAAAAAGAGTAAAGACTGCATTGATAAGAGCTTATCCTGCAACTAAACTGTTGTCCGAAATAACATGTTCTTGAACACAATTAAAGGTCGATAGGTATCCCTTTCATGTTACCATCAACTGTATATACAAATCCATATGTATCTGGCGAAGCAGTTACATCGGTAGAACAGAAAAGAGAGCCTACGTCCGATCCAAATAACATATTCAAGAGAGTCTTAGATCAAGTGTATTAAAAGCATTCAACAGTGCCATCTCTAGACACCTTGGCACAGGACGTCAAGTAGATAGACTGAAGTTTTTCAAGCTGATTAGCAACAATTTGCTAGAGCTACAGAAATTAATCGTCTAAAACTTGGTCTATGTGTCCAGAAAGAAGTGATGAATCTTCCTTTGCCCTGGTAACATTACATCCTTTTTATTGTGTCATTCATTATTTCAACTCTTTCTGAAGTTGAATTACATCATTGCCATTTTTATTCAATTCATATCTTTATTACCATTAATCTGTTTTCAGTTGTTTCACTACTCAGTCATCTAATGTTTGTTAACTCTAAACATTAGTTCAATGTTATGAAACTTTACACGCTTTATTTATTTACCTGAAACAAAAGATTTTTTATAACCTTATTAATTCTATTGGAATCTTCACTACATCATGATATACAAATTCATCTCAAATCACCCTTGTATGTATGTCAATATGTCAATAATATATTATAGATTGTAAGCAACTGATGACATTGTTTTATTTGTTTATTTGAGCACATAAACATTGGTACAAAGGGGCGTCGAATGAATATACGCCACACAAGTTACTTCATTCGTGTGTGGGTTGAGATACTGCTGGGGTGCCCAAACCGAATCAGGTGGTTTTCTTCGGGGCCACACCCGAAGCCTTCGACCTAAAGGTCTGACTCACAAGGTTGTGTAGCAACGTCAAGAGATTCAGCTCCATGGTATCCGGTAACAAACGATTGGTTCATACGCCGTTTGAGCCCATATGCACAATGAAATGAGGGTTTTCGACTCTCCTAGATGGACTCTCCGTGCCCACCAACCCGGTTAAAGTGGCGGACATTCGCTTTTCGTCCTCTCATTTTCGTAAACAACACCCGTGCCACGAGAAGGTAGTGAGTAGGACTTCCGCGTGGCTATGTAAAAGCATTTGGAGCAAGAGCTGACTCTTCCCTTCCTCAGTCGTACCAGATGGAGGCTTAATCAGAAACTAACCAAATAATTCTGCATTAATCTTTGTTTTTTTACTTTCTTCAAAACAAAAATCTGTCATTCGTAGCGTGTTTTTTTACTTTACTAAACATATTTGATTGTTTTTGTCTGAATTGTTCCATGTATTGTTTATTGTTTTACAATATATGAAATAATTAAACTCTAAATAACGTCCTAATTGTTTAATTTATTTGCAATATTTTCAATGTTTACTCATAATCAAAACGGTCATGTTTTACAATTATAGTAGCAGTTAACTTTTAGTTACTGGGTCACATGTTCGAATTTTGGATTGTTTATTTCAATTTGGACAATTCATTATGACAGTTTTAGGTAGTAGTCTTTAAAAAATCTTGATCAATGCTGAATACTGTGGTCGGAAATTAGACATTGTAACTGTTAGCGGGACATAGTTTAGAATAAAGCATGCTCAATACGCGATTGCTTTGGCTAATTCTTATCCATTCAGCTCTAGTCGATACTTGGAGAACATTCTAGAATCTTCCCATGCAAAAACTATAATTATACTAACGTTTTTCCTATTGTTCTTCTTACTTCCATCTAACCTTTTTATTTGAAATAGGAATCTCTTTCCTGTTCAACCGTGTTTTGATTTGGGAACTTGTCGAGTGAATTGGTGTCCGAGAATACCAAGCGATAGGAATAATTGGGTTGTAATAAGAGAGAATTATAATTATTAAAATAATGTTACTAGTTAGTTAGTACTTAATACAAGGAAATGAGATAAATACTTCTTGGTTAGATATGCACTATTTAGTGTATAATAGATTATATGTATTCATGGAGTGATAAGCTTTCACTGTATAGTCATTCACTGAATCTATAGTTTTTTTGAATTTTAACTTCAGCTATATGTGACGCATGATTTTCTTACACTTTACCATTTCTTATATGATACGACAACAGTTTGACTTTGTAATCTGAGTAGTGTAACTGTTGACTTGATTACATATTCACACTTAAATCAGTACGTATCATCCCATCATTGGTTGGTTGACGTATGTACATGTGTTAGAAAATGTCTGAGCAACTAACTAATTCCAAGTGCACGTATAATCAGGTTAATAAAAGTGTGGAGTTCACTATCCCTTTTGAAATCCTCGAATATGATAACACGTATATACACAATACCATGGAAGTCCTACTCACTACCACCTTATTGCCACAATAATGTTGATTATGAAATTAAAAAGATCGAAAACAAATATATGGAGCTCAAACCTGGTTGTTGGGTATGCAGCATCCATCATGAGCAGTTAGAAAACACTGATTTCAAACCAATGGTGCACAGGCACTCCACAATCCTGACAGGAAAAATGGTGTATGAACGTATCATTAGTCATCTGCAAGCATGGAACCTCATCTCTCAACATCGTTTCACTACTTTGTGGATGAGACCTCTGAATGAAAGACTTGAGTTTGACCCTCTAAGAAAATCGTCTAATTCGGTTTAGGTAGGCATATACTATCTCAAATGTCAAATATTACAGATATGATGGAAAGAAAAGTCAAAATTCGATTGATTTACTCATTATAAGTTTTGGTTCAACATTACTTCCGTTTTGTTTCAATGTAATGATTACTCAATGTAGTATTTGTTTTCTATTCTCGCATGATATTTTCATTCTGTATAATATACGATATTCTTGTATTCCATTGACATGAACTATCCTCAGTCTGTGGTTTGTTATAACTCTAAGTATTTTTCATATATGTGATTTCATTCTAATTATTAGTCAAAATGGGTGTATGAATCAATATATAAATTGAGTGTATTTTTGACTAGGGTCGTCGTCGTGTTTTGGGGTTAATAAATCTTCTCTTATAGTAGTCTTTGTGTTCTTACTTTCTCGTCGTAGGAATTGCAGAGGTCCCTCGTTCCGAGTATAAGTGATAAGCGTTTCCGACACAACGATCAGCGACGACCAGATATAACAAGTAGCATTCAACTGACGAGTTATAACAATTACTACCTATTACCTTTGTCATGATTAGTATACTGACTGACAGGACTATTGACAAGTTGTATACAATCTTATTATCGATTTAAAGTCTTATTAAGTAGAGTGGTGGGGTGTTAAGATTTGAACTAGTGATTAATATGAATTGATTCCCAGCATTGGGATAGGTTTTAGTCGAAGTGCAAACCAAGTCTGCGATTTTAAGTTGAATGTTTCCTTTTTTAATCTTTTTAACACACAGTTCTTCGTCCTACTAAGTTTGTATTGATCCTTTTTTCCTATAAAATAATAGCAAGAACGACGCCTGTTTGCTAACTTTCATCGCCAAGTATTCTGTTGGATGGATAAATGGCACGGTTGGACAATGGAAGATGTGAGAATACATGAAGAGCAAACTAAAAAGGAATTGGAAGAAGTACGTTTTTAATTATCTTTTACAGTCCTTATAATTTGAAACATTTTGATTTGTTTGATGCCAACTGAGGTAATGCTGTGTTCTGAAAGTTTTAAGATACATCAGTCTCACTCATCTTAAAATACCCCCCCCTATTTTTGCTTATCTAGTTCCCCTGTCTCCATTTCAGTCAGTTAAAATATCACTAGGATTCTTCAAAATTCAGTCTGTTTACCTGATTTGTCATCACTTAGTATTTTGTTGTCTACACATCCTTCTGGTGCTGCCCCCGTCAATACTGATTTGTATTTTGAGAATAAAAAGAAATAAAAGGGTACTAATTGAATCGCAGGCGAAAAACTCATGGGTTGTTATTACTAAATGTAGGCACGTTGTGGTTAATACCGAAGTTATCTTCACAGAATCTGCGTTAGATGATTCCTGTATCTAAGTCTTATTCCAGTGTGCATTCACGGTTAAGACATATTTGCAATGTTGAGGGAACTGATGCTGTCTTTTGGATGTGATTCTGTGTGACATAGCTTCACAGTCTAAAACGTTATAGGTAAGCTGTGATGAGCCTCCTATGTGACTGAAATACTTATGAATGGTTGATCAATGAATAATGGTGATTGTTCACCGTTGATCGAATTCTATCTGTCAAGTTGTAATGTGGTTGCTAGTCTAAATGAATTGACGTCTCAGTTAGTTGTTATTACATTTGTCACGATTCTAGATTTTCGATTGATGCACAGTGATTGTAACTCATCAATGTGTAAATCCTTGAGATGTTAGTTTTTATTTGATTTCATCGGAAGTCGAAATCCGGGCATTGTTGTGGTTCATACCTGAAAAAATTTATGAATATCATTATAATTGTTTTGTTTATTTTTTTCATCCTTTTTTTCACTTCAAGCAACGTATACAAGGCAGCTTACGAGGTCATGTCACCGAAGAGTAATAGCCAATCTCTTTTGTATAATAATAGCAATCATGATTATTATACTCTGAACTGTCTGCTTGTCTCTTTATTACCATTTTCTGATTGCCTAACCTTTACCTCCGACACTTCTTATAGTACAATTCAGTTCATGTTAAGGTAATTCTTCACATCTCTATTCTTTATATATTCTTTGTGAATTCAAAGGTCTCTTCTTCATTTCCTAGTTGATTTTGATGTATTTTGCCTGTTTTATATATATATATATATATGCATGCCAATGTTTGGAATTCTCTTCTTGTTAAGTGTAATCTTCTAAAGGAAATTGTATTCCATAAAATTTGTGTCTGTATGCAAGTGAATACGTCTACTTGTCCTCCTCCTGGTGTACTATTATCAACTATATTAAACACAATAACATTTATGATTTGTACTTATCAAATTTTCTATTTTATTAATACAAATATGTTTTCCCACTATCTGAATAAATATTATTCATATACATTATGTTACTAGATTTACTGTACAACATTATCAGTAGTAGAGTAATAGTAGTATTGGCAATAATGTTTAAAAAATCATGATACTCAGTTGTCAAGCCTTAAACTTGACAAAATGAATTTCAATTCAACGAACTAAACCAACTAATCAGTCAACACCATACTATTACTACTACTACTCTGGATATTTGTTGATCATAACTGCTTAATCTCTATTTACTACTGAAATCACATTTTAAAAAATAGAAAAATAAAGAATGGAATTTTTATTTCTCTCCTTAAACTTGATTCGTTGGCGATTCATTTAGTTTTCTTCCCTTTTTCTAAATCTTTGTAATATTTACTTAACTGTGATTTTTCGCTCGTCTTGTTTCTCTTTTCTCCACCAACCGTTTGTACCCATTATTATTATTATTATTATTATTATTATTATTATTATTATTATTATTATTATTATTATTATTATTATTATTGGAAGTAGTATTATCTTACTGTACAAGTTCCTCTTCATATACGGATATATATATTACACCGTCTTCAGCATAGCGGAAAGGTAACCCCACTTTCATATGTTGAGCATATACACATAGATATATGTATGTATGTTATTCTCGGTGTACACTTGCATGCATTACTACTTTTTGACAACCTCGTATTATTATCAATTATATTTCCTGATCAGGTTCAATACATATTTGTTTCTAATGAATAAATTTTTCAATCCATCATTTGTGATGGTGATGATGAATTGGCTACAGCAACAGAAACAAAATAACAAAAAAATGGTCTGTTTGTTTGTTTGCTTGCTTTCTTTTCTGTGTAAAAACAAACAAACAATCTCCAACAGATTTTCTTATGTTAAATTGTATATGTAAATTGAAATTATAAATATTATCTACAAATTATTTACATAATCTACATTGAAAGGAAAGGGGGGGAAGAGAGAACAATTATGTGTGTATTCATTTAGGATCAGGAATAATGATTAATGATCGTATTCAATCTCTAAAGATCTTATTATTAATAAGATTATATATATATATACCTATGTATTCCTCAATTACCTCTCTGTTTATTCCTTGTTAACATTCCTTTCTCGTTTCTTTTTTGGTTTTTCGTTATCGTTATTGTTGTGAACTTCTTTGGAGAAATTTTTTTTTAAAGAAACATAGCAACACCCTTCTATAATACTAATGATGATAATTAAAAGAAAAAAAACAATAATAATAAACGAAATTCTATTTATCATTGCATATTTTGTAGTTAGATACTTGAAGGTAATCAACATAGAAGGTTGTATATATATATTAACTTAAGTTTCATAATAGTTAGCGCCTCTCTACAATAAGATATACTTGTAATCATGTCAGATGTGAATTGTGTAAGATTTCAGTATTTGTGTGTTATGTTTGTCTATTTCTCAATTTAATGACAATCAAACTCCATTGATGATCATAAGTGGTATTCTATATTAACTTGGATAAAAAAAATTTCTATTTAAAACTGTCCTGTTGTTGGTGTAATGAAATTCTGTATCTTTGCCTACATTTCATATAGTGATTATTTTGTAAGTTATGTATAGACTATCAGAAATAATTTAGGAGGTCACTTAGAAAAAACGTTACTTTACTTACTTATGCCTGTTAATCTTCATCAAGGAGCATAGGCCACCAACCAACACTTTTCACCCAACCCTGTCCTGGGCAATTCTTTCCAGTTGTTATTCGTCCTTTTCATATCTGATTCTATTTTCCGATGTAATGTGTTCTTTGGCCTTCCTCTTTTCCACTTCCCTTCAGGATTCCAAGTTGCCTCGTAATGTAGTTTGATTTGCGTAATGTATGTCCTATCTATTTCCATCGTCTTTTCTTAATTTCCTCTTCAGTTGGAAGCTGGTTTGTTATCTCGCAGAGAAGGCTGTTACTAATGGTATCCGGCCAATGGATGTTGAGTATCTTGCGTAGACAACCATTTATAAATACTTGTACCTTCTTGATGGTGATTGTTGTAGTTCTCCAAGTTTCAGCTCTTGACGTTTGTATTGAAAATTGTGACTTTGATATTGGTTAACAGACAGTTGTTTTGAGTTCCATATGTTCTTCGATTGCGGGAATTCGGCCCACGCTTTGCCAATTTTTACTTTTACGTCTGCATCCGATCCTCCTTGTACATCAATGATGCTTCCCAAGTACGAGAAAGATTCCACAGTTTCCCCATCAAGTGTTCTCTGTGTTGTATTTGAGGATGTTGCTTTTCCCTTTGTGTATGTTCAGACTTACTGATACAGAGGCTGCTGCTACACTGTCTTCATCTGCATTTGTTCATGTGCATGGGATAAGAAGGCCAGATCATCTGCGAAGTCCAAATCGTCTAACTGATTCTCAGTTGTCCATTGTATTCCGTGCTTCCCCTCAGATGTCGCGGTCTTCATAGTCCAGTTAACCACCAGAAGAGGAACGGGGGAGTAGACAGCCTTGTCTGACTACAGTCCTTACTTTGAATGCATCTGTCAGCTATCCTCCATGCACGACTTTGTACTGTAGTCCGTCGTATGAGTTGCGGATAACGTTGGCGATCTCAGGAACTCCATGGGTGTTCATATTGTCAAACTCATTCTCATAGAAAAATGTAGCTATTAAAATAATGTTCATCCAAAAATAGTCCATTGAAGTGGGAATGCATCCGTTGATATTGTTTGTATGAATTTGACGATGTAATTAATTTGTTAGCTATTGTTTTCTTAACCTCTGCCAATTGTATATGAGCATTCATGTTAGAATATTTGCCCGTACTACAATAATCACAGATTTCAGTTTAGCTGCTTCATCAAAGCGTCCTTAAGCAAAATGTCTAAAACACGTTTGTGAACAGATCTTTGACACAAAATAAACCGTCTAATGCACTTGAGTAACTCATCTTTTCATTAGTGAAATTCTCAACACTGGAGGATCTATGTATTTATACATGTCTAATTGTATCTATGTGTAATACAGATGGGTTTGAATGAATGGAAAATATTTTACTCAATTTGTTTTTATCTTAGTTTTGACATTTTTCCATGAAGCAACAGATTATATATTTAAGTACATAAGGACATCAAAATATATAGGCGCCACATAAATCACTGAATTTGTGTGCGGGTCGGGATACTACATGGCTACCCAAACCGGAGAAGACGGTTCTCTTAGAGGGTCAACCTCAAATCTTTCATTCAGAGGTTTCATCCACAAAGTAGTGAAACGATGTTGAGAGATGCGATTCCATGCTTACAGATGATCAATGATACGTTCATACACCATTTATTCTGTCAGGATTGTGGAGTGCCTGTACACCATTGGCTTGGAATCAGTGCTTCCCAACTGCTCATGATGGATGCTGCATACCCAACAACTTGGTTTCAGCTCCATATATTTGTTTTCCGTCTTTTCGATCTCGTAAGCAACATCGTTGTGGCAATAAGGTGGTAGTGAGTAGGACTTCCATGGTATTGTGTATATACGTGTTATCATATTCGAGGATTTTGAGAGAGATAGCGGCTTCTACACCGTTGCATATTTTGGGCCTCCGGGAAATTGTTTTCGTTTGAAATGTTTAATATCTTAATCATAGATTTTAATGGAAAAACTCCATCGTTTCAGTATTGTTTATAGCTTTCGGCCATTGATTTGAACTGCAATGTTTGATGACTATTAACTGATCAGTTTAGCTTCATATAGATACTCAGAAAATCTTGGTACTTTTTCGGAATTGGTTATAGCTTGTTTATTTACGTAAATAGTTTCTGTTAAAATGCATATTATGGCGACTAATCTATGTTTTATACTGTAATCGACACAGTACATTCTTCCCTGATTAAGGTGAATTGGGAATTCATTATTGCTTCGATGCATTTTAGTATAACCGTTAAATCCATCACACACTTATATGTTCTACTACTTCTCGAAATACACATTCATGATCTAAAACATTTGTACGTTTATTGAAGTCACTTTATCTACACAGATAGTATAGTACAATTTGAGAATAACAGGTCCATTGTTAATGATGATTCATTTACATAATCAGACAAGTAATTAATTATGAGTACACAAATGTGTACACCAATATCCGAGTTCACTATCGGTCACTTTAATCATTGCAAAGTTATACAATAGAATGGGGATGACTCATTTCATTATTAAATATGTATGAATTTCTGCTATGTACCGGCTGATTTATCAAATGAAATGCGGTAGTAGTTTGATGTGCTCAGAACGTTCAGTTTCTTTCAGGATGTTAGAATCTTCAGATGTTTGGTAACACTTACTTCACTACAAACTATTTGATTTATAGTCAATAATTTGAACTCGTATTTAGTAAGTGACTTATTATTATCTTGTTATTTTCTACTTTGATGTCAATGTTGAGAATCTAAGAACCCGGATGCGGATCAGTGGATACTCAAGAGTCCTATACTAGAAACAAACAGCCATCTAGTGCTTCCAGGTTTTCAATGATGGTCTAGCTAAGATCAGTTCGTGATTTGAACTTTGAGAACATCACAATCGCCACATATCCCCTAAATTAAAAGAAGTATCAATTATAAGTCGAAATAAGTTCACGTCCGTCCTAACTTGATGTATTATTTTATGACACTAGCTCTACTTCCAGAATGACATTGGGGTTATTCTCAGTTTAACATTTTATTTCGTTAATAATTTTATATTTTCCTGTGAAACATTTTTACGAATGCTTAACTACATTCTTACATGACAGATGAAACGCTGAAAACTTTGGAATGGTGAACATTTTTTTAGTCATTTGAGTTGTAGCGTGGCGTCGAGTCGCGGTAGACTATGAACACCGCTACCAAGAAACACGTGCTAAATGGCTCCAAAAAATCCCCCGGAAGCCAAATATCAGAAGGCAGTTAATGGACCAAGTCGAGATATATTTGCTGGTGATCCCGTGGTATCGAAAGGATACCGAGGTCGTGCCAGGATACAAGCTTGGTTACAGAACGTAACCGAATTCGCGCGAAGTCACAATCAACGTATGTGAATAATGGATGCTTTTTAGCACAGTTAAACAAAAGCACATTAAAACAGTCACTGGTACAATTGGCTATAATAATAATAATAATTGTTTTCAATAAACCAATCGTGTTCTCGTGATAAAAATGAGTCACTACAGAGTAATGGATATTTACGAACATCCACTATCTTTCACGCAGGACCTTCGGTCTCACGCTAACAATTAGACACTAGGCCACTGAGCCGACATCCAACAGTATTAATCTACAATTTCAACCAATTTACTTTACTGCGCGACCATCTTACTTTGTCTTCGGTCATTAACTGACTCACACCCGACACGATTAAACTCCATTAGTCACAGCTCCTCAATATTACTTCGAGAATTACCTCTTGAAGCTAGTCATTAGTGA